GAAAAGAAAGGTGTTTTTCCCCCTTTCATGTGCCTACAGTTGCTATCTAGTTAATAATTAGAAGATCAGGAGGGCAAATTATGCCTTGTATTAAATGAAGGGTTTATATTGAAATGCCCTGAAACATACACAAAGCTATCCAGACTAAACTAGATATGCATTATTTGTACATAAATTACAATGCATTCTGCCTTTTTCTGAACAGATCCTTCTGTGACCATTTAGTTAATTCACATTTTAGTCTAACTTGTTTTTCCATAAGCTGAATATGATACTTGGTGTAAGATGCCTAATATGCTTTCTAAGAAAGATATAAACCATCTGACCCTGTACAAATGTTTATTGAAACAAATGAACCATGAGAGAAAAAATGAGTTATCAAGTTTTTTCTTTTTTGGCCATTACTGGGGTTTGAACTCAGGGTCTCACTGTTGCTAGACAGCCACTCTACCACTTGAGCCACTCTACCAGACCAGAATTACCTACTTTTGACCAAGATGACTGCCTCTAAAAATTCCACTTCCAAAGGGGGAAAAATATTGCAGGGTACAAAAAAAAGTAACTTAAACTTGAAATTGGTATAATTGCAGGAATAATAATTGGTGTATCAAGTAAAGTTATTTTAAAATAAAATTAAAGCTATGAGGCTTTGTTCTATTTTGCTATAAAATAGCATAAGAGTGTGACAGCTTGAAGATTTCTTGAGTTTGGACAATGTCTATCCAAGTGTCAACCAGACATCTCTACCTGAATGTCCCATGGCTGCTTCAAAATCATTATGTTTAAAACTTATCATCATCATCTCCCTCTAGGTTGATTATCTTAAACATGTATTCATTATCTAGCTAATGGAACATCTCTTCACTCATGTGCCCAAGCCAGAAAGAAACATGGGAGTCATCTCTTTTTCTCTCCCTTGCTCCATAAGCAACCATGTAGCCCTGTAAGATTTTATCTTACAAATATCTCTTAAATCAGTTCCCTTTTCTCAGTGAGACTATTCTGATAACCTTCTAATTGGTCTTCTTGTCTGGAGTTCTATTCATAAGACTTCTGGCAGAGTGATTTTTCCAAAAAGCAAATCTGGTACCACCTCCTAGTCAACAGTTTCTAATGTATAAATGAATTTGCATTGCACACCAATCCCTTCATAGATCTGGCTCTATTGTTCATTTTGTTCACTCACCATACTATATGAGTGTCTACTATATGCCAGGTACTGTTCTAAGGGTTAGAGACACAACAAAAGACAAACAGACAAAAGTCTCATCTGCTGTCATTTCCTATTCTCTTTCAACCCTTCCTCCCCACCACTACCAAGCTTTGCCTTCAAATAATAGTGAACTATTTGCAATCTATTAAGGATGTCTTTTTCTTTTAATACAAATTTCCACTCATTTAAAAATCTCAATTCAATCCTGACATCTCCTCTTAAGACCTTCCTGAATCTCCTTGTACACTTTTGTGAACACTAATACTTTGTTTGCATGGCTATCCTTCCACTGGCCTCTTTGAGGACAACGTCTTTTGACATAGAGTTGGCAAATACAATGTATTTATAAAATGAAACAATGAGTGAACAAAGTGACAGGATTTCCTCATCATTGTTCTTCTCAAATCTTCCAGAATTATACACAAAGTAAAAAGTATGAGCTTGCACAAGCAGCTGTTACTACTAAATATTACATAAGAGATGATTTTCAGAGTCCTACATGAATATGAGCTCTGGAAGTGTTCTGTCATCTTTCCACTTGAAATTTGTTTTGGTATTAGTTTAGTTCACCACCAAAATTTTACCTTCTGCCCTGGGGCATATTCCCACAATTGAAAATGCAAGTAGTAAATATTTTAAAATATACTGTTTAGCAGCAGATAGATTTCATGGAAATGAATATTAGATTATTACAGAATTTCTTTGTTATACTAAGTCTAAAATGATGCACCTCATGCATTAATCTATCATATTTTAAAATCTCAAATCCATGTAATTATTTACATATAATATCAATCTGACAATATTTCAAAAGTTATATGAAGAGATTCAGGTTCTCACTAGCATACTACCTTTTAAGATAAAATACTATCCATTTATCAAGCATATGTCAAAATGTGAGACAGGAAAACATTAGAAATTTGTTCTAAAAGCAAAAATGAAAAGTTCACATATTGTAAACAAACTCCAATTAAACAGGTTGGAACACCAATAGAGATGTGAGGAGGTGGCCATCTGTCAGTACATAAAGGACTTTGTGTTTGCATACAAAGATATTACTCAACCCACATCTGGCTCCTGAAGCCAAAATCTACTCTCTTGGGGCAACTCCCACTGAAATAGATGGGCATAAAGAATAGGGAAATGAATTTTTTAAAAAACAGTTGTTTGTTCCACAGATTTTCAATGTATGAGAGACTCAGAATAGAATTCAGTCCACTTTTCTACTTGTATTTATTTTAAAAAGAGAACAGGGAGGTCAAGACAGAAGAGAATTAGTAGGTATTAGGAGATCAAAGTTCTCAACTCATTGCATAATTTTGGGAAATGTACTAGAATTCTTCTGGTTTTTTCCTCCTGAAAGGTCTTATCTCTCTACTCCCCTAAATCATAACCATAAGGCACATCTCACTTCATTTCTCCTTTGGAAAGCCTTCCTTTATTACTTCAACTTATTTCTATTCTTTTCCTACTCAAGACTACCCTACTTACACATTAAGCATATATTTGCAAAATATTTTATATTGTGTTCTAGTAGTTTGTGTCCTAGTCTTGTATAAATTATAAGCTTCTTGACAAGAACAAAAGCAATATTGTTTTTACTCCAAAGTGCTTAATACAAAGAGAGGACAATGCAATACATATCACAAATGATGTTTGTTCAGCAAATTCTCTCATTCTCTAAATTTCTACTAAACCAAAATCAATCAGCCTTTACCCAGCAGAGTTATTTACATAGTATGAGCTACATCACCAGAGTGGAAGACAATTAGAAGAAATTCTTAGAAAAAAACAGGTGTGAATATCAGCTGAGTTTAAAATAACAATCTTCAGAGTTTCTTACAATATCTACTCTCTTTGTTCAATGCCTGAGAGTTTGAGAAAGGCTACGCCAGCATAATGGATAGGAGTATATACTCTTGATCTAGATTGCAAATGTTTCACTCTCAACTCTTTGACTTACTGATTGCTATCTAGTAAATTAGAAAAAGTATCTAACTTGCAATGTTTTCCTGCCCAAACAAGAATAGCAGTAACAGTACCTACCCCATATGGTTGCTAGGAGGATTAAATGAACTAAAGAACTGCAAAGGGTGTAAGATATTGTCTAGCATGTATTCAGCTAATTTTAGTTATTATTATTATTATTATGCTAAAACATAGAATGTTCAATTTTAAATGAAATAATATGGTTTTTATGAAATAAGAGGAAAAAAGCAATTTCTTCCTTTTATAATGAATAATTTCTTCTATAGTCTACCAATAAAAAGCATATACCTCAACTTTTGCTCATACTAAAGTCTCGTTGACTGAGGCATGAGATACTTTTTGTGAGACACTAATTCTATTCCTCACTTAAAAAAAAAAAAAAAAACAGGACTGGGAGTGTGGTTCATGTATCAGAATGCCTGCCTAGCAAGCACAAGGCTCTGAATTCAAAATCCAGTACTGCCAAAAATCAAACAATAAATAAATAAAAATAAACTCTATAGATTCAACTCCTAGGAAATTGCTGAACTGAACCTATGTGTCCTTGTAATGTAAATGGACACACTGACATGCACATACACACACCCAAATTTAATCTTAACAAAAATCCTTCATGTTAGATATATTAATCCTACTTTATATATGAAAACACTGAGGTTCACAGAAGTCATATAGCTTAATCAAGTTATTAATCTAGTAAGAAACATTAGCTTGTTAATATCTTGTCTTTTAAAATGGTAGGAGTGTGAAACTTCTGAATATACCTGTGTAGGCATGCATTTTGGAGGACGGATGGGAGGGAGCATGGTAAATAATCACTATATTCTCAATCTCAAAGAACAGAGATTATCTGGCTCCTATAAAAGTTTTTTAAAAACATTCCCTCATTTAAATCAACAATATTCTCTTGAAGCTAAAACAAATAAGAATTTATTGAATGATGTGTGCTAGGAATTTTATATATCAACTCATTTGACTTTGAAAAGACAACTTTGAAAAGAAACTGAGTCAGTGAAATGAAACGACTTGCCCAAGGCATACAGCAGCTCTTAAATTCATATCCAGGTTAAATTGATAAAGTTTATGTTCCTTTCATTATATAAGACTGTCTTGTCATATTTTTAACTTGGAGTCCACAAAAAGCTAAGAGCCTCATACAAGAGCAAAGAATAATTACTTTCAGTTTAACAGAAAACAAACCTTAGACACTATGGCATGGTTCCACTAGATTAAGTCACCTCCAAATAATAGACTGTTTTAAAGGTAATTTAAGATGATTTGAGCCTCAAAAATGTACTGGCAAATATAGTGAACTTAGTCTATTGATCACTAGCTTTTTTTTAAAATGGTTATAACCAAGTTTAAGCCTTAGCTATCCAAATCTAGAATTTCAATAAAAGAAAAAAGTAAACCAAAAAAAATGTTTCCTTAAACTCCAGCCGTATATTAATAAATACACAAGGACATTTTCATTGGAAATGCCTAAAAGTGAGCCTTTCCAAAAAGCAGATTCCTTCCTCAATAATTTTTTCCATGAAATTTAAGGAAATCATCATAAAGCAAAATAGGTGGCAAAGGTACTTTTGAAGAACTAAATCAGTAAATTAAAAGATCTCTAACTCTAATATTAAATATAACATATAATTTGAGGAAATAAAGGTATACAAAACATTTTATAAATCTATAACTGACCTCCCCCTTTATTTAAATCAGTCTGGTCCTTGAGAGCAGGAGCCTTTTTTTTTCCTTTTTCCTTACTAAAATACAATGAACTTGACCTCCACCCTCTGCTGCTTACCTGTTGCAGAAGATGTTGAGGGCGCCATGTGGACTACAGTGACAAGGCAGGCAGAGGCCAGAAGTGTGGTTGAGGTAAAAGTCCTCCTTGCAGGTATCACAGCGAAGACCCTGATAACCTTGCTGACACTCACACTGCCCTGTGGTCTGGTTGCAGTGCTTTACATCCAGGCTTCCAACCTTAGAGCAGTTGCACACATACTCTGAAAAGGAAAGAAGGAAAGAGACATTCTCAACTGAGATTTAATGCCTTAAGAAAATGAACTCTATTTCATTTTGAATAAATTTTCATGATAAGTTTTTAATGACTAGATAAAACTCTAGTTCTTCCTTACTTTCTATACTGCTTAGTTTATTTAAATTGGAAAATGTATACAGTAGAGTATACAAAATTATACACAGTTCATAATTATAAAGCTAACATTCTCAGTTTCCTTTCTAGTATTCTTCATCTCCTACCTCCTGACCCTACACCCCACTGTGTGTGGGAGTGGAGGGTGTGCATGTGTGTATGTGTGTGCATGCATATGTGTATATCTGTATGTTACTAGTTTTTCTGAACTGGAAGCCTCAAAAAGCAGGCTTATCTACATGGCACAGAGAGTACATGCTGGGAATAACATGTTAAATAATAAATAACCTCATTGTACAACAGCAAATACCGGAGGACTCAGATGACTAACTCTGGTAACCTATACAAGGTCATACAAGATTGTACCACAGTTGGAATCATAAGCTAAATATCCCATCCACTAGGTAAGACACCCAAAAAACTAGGAAGCATTTGTTGCCCTCAATGCAGAGAAACTAATGCAGATACTTTAAAGCAACAGAGGCCAAAAGGAGAAGGGAACCAGGAACTAGAGAAAAGGTTAGTTCGAGAAGAATTAATTTAGAAGGTAACACACATGTACAGGAAAGCAATACAAGTCAACTCCCTATATAGCTATCCTTATCTCAACTAGCAAAACCCTTGGTCCTTCCTATTATTGCTTATACTCTCTCTTGAACAAAATTAGAGATAAGGGCAAAATAGTTTCTGCCTGGTAGCAAGGGAGTAAGGTGGGAGAGGGAGATGGTGGGGTAGGTAAGGAGGGGGTAGGGGGAAGGGGGGAGAAATGACCCAAACATTGTATGCACATATGAATTAAATAAATAAATAAATATCCCATCCACGAAGAAATTAATGAAGAACTGAATTTGAGGTGAAGAAATGGTGAACAATAAATCCAGAAAAGAAAATGTATCCATTCATCCTGGTTGAAGTAAAAACCAATCACAATTTGAGAGCCTGTCCCAAACTAAAAGATTCAGAAAACAAACATTTTCTTTAGGTGTATTTCAAACAGTTCTTTCAATGAAAATAATTTAGGAGCCCTTAATTTTAGCCATCTAATGCAAAAACACATTAAATACCAGCAGCTAGGATTTGGTTTTTACTAGTACTTCTACTCATCTTATCAAAAGGAAAGTATTTTCTTTTTTTTTTTTTTCAGCACTAGAGTTTGAACTCGACAGCCAAGGAAAGTATTTTCAACATAGTTTGATGCAGTATCAACGCAGGACTTTGTAAGTATGTATAAGAAGATGAAGTTAAAATTAACTGCAGAGAAAATAAAAGTTTGTATATATTCTAGGAAAAGGGCTTATTTCAAAATAGTGATAAACTTAGGTGAAAAAGCCCAGGGAAATGTATCATACAAATTATACTTATGACTAAATAAGGCACCATATAAAATGGCATTATACTAAAAAAAGTTTAGCTTGGAAAAATAATCTTTAACTTTTTTTATTCTTTCAAAAGTTACCAGATAGCTGCAAATTCAGTCTTTTATACAGAAAGTTATAAACCATTTTGCTCTCAATTCTAGAAAAAGGAATTAAACTTCAAAGTTCCTTATACAATTACAAGCAGCATAACCACACCAGTCAAAACAAAGGATTCCACAAAGAAATCCCCATTAGCCAACTCTATACTCTCCATGCTTCTTCAGGTCCTAAACTTTGGTATCAGTTTATTTCCCTGCCCTTCACACTTCTTTTAATTTGTAAATATAATGAATGAATATTTTGGTGGATGATTTCTTTACTTTCACATATTTCAAACATGGGCGGCAAATTACAGAACCTAATGGAGAGTTCAGATTTCTTCAGCCCCAAGTTTAGGAAAGGAATCTGTTTCCTGTCACAATCAAGATTCTTATTTTGGAGCTGGTGGTGTAGCTCATCGATAGAGCACTTGCCTAGTATTTTTGAGGCTCTAGGTTTGATCCATAGTACCACCAAAAAAATAAAGACTCTTATTTTTAGTAGGCTAAACATGACATTTGTTTGACAGAGTTACAGGTTTTCAAATGAGAGCTACTTTCTGGGCATGTGTGCTTAGTGGGTTCTGTATATAATGAAGCCATGTTCAGTGGTTTGTAAAACTGCCAAAGACATCTTCATGGCAAGAACTTCCCTCCACCAAAAATGACCAGAAGGCTTAAAATAACATTTTTCTTCTGAGACTTAGCAGACATTCAGTATACATCCAGCTCTTCCTGCTGGATCAATTTCATCACAAGTTAAACTAACCAAATTATGCTCTAGTGAACAGTTTTTTTAAAAAGTGAAGATAAGGTCAGGTGTGGTGGCTCATGCCTATAAGCCCAGCTACTCAGGAGGCAGACATCAGAAGGAACACTATTCAAGGTCAGCCTTGACTGAGACCCCATCTCAATCAATAACCCAGGCACAGCATCCATGCCTATGGTCCCAGCTATACCTGAAGCCATAGATACGAGTATCCTGGTCTGAGGCTGGCCCCAGGCAAAACATGACACCCTATTTGAAAAATAACTAAAAAGCAAAAAAGGGCTGGGGGCATGGTTCAAGTAGTAGAGCACCTACCTAGCAAGTGTGAGACCCTAAGTCCAAACCCCAGTACCACCAAACAAAAAAAAAGAAAGAAAAAAGTGAAGACTGAAAAAAATAACAAACCCTAGCTACAATAAAGACTGTGACTTCTATTCTATTGTTTCCTTACTAATAAAGTATTTTCACCTGAAAACTGAATCAGTGTTCCCATGAATGAGATACAATTAGCAGTATTTTTAAAACGGATTCAATTAATCTAAGAACTCAGACAAAAACACTCAGTATTTTTTCAATAGAGTTCTAATGGATAAACCTTCAGTACTAATCAAGCTCATTGGTTATTTATTATTTCTATAGATCAAATCTCATCTCTTTATTATCCTCTGAACATATTCTGACTAATCCTATTTCTAAACCAGCACTCATTTGGTGTGACGCTTGGGAATGTTGTCTCTGCTTCCCTTATTCAAACTTATCTCCTACTTAAAGAATAAATGGAAACTCATTCCATCACACTCTAATCCTATCACCCTACTATAAACACAACACCTGCTACCTGTAACTCATATGAGAGTAATTTAAAGAGGCAATATGGCAAATTAGAGTTTACAGCCAGTCAGCTAAGGTTTAAAATCTGCTCTCAGTTGGGTACTGGTGGCTTACACCGACAACCCTAGCTACTTGGGAGGCTGAGATCAGGAGGATCACAATTCAAAGCCAGCCCAAGCAAACGGTTCACAAGACTTCCATGTCCAAAATAGCAGAGCAAAATGGACTGGAGGTGTAGCTCAAGTAGTAGAGCACCTGCTTCGCAAGCATGAAATCCTGAGTTCAAGCCCCAGTCTCAACAAAAAAACAAACTAACAAGAAAAAAAAATACCCAAAAACCTGATCTCTTACTTACTAACTTTATAATCTCAGACAAATTAGCTTTCATTTTCTCATCAGTAAACAGGACATAATAATAGTACCTATAACAGAGGCCCCAAAAGTGAGGCATATAAGTACTACAAAAATCAATATAACAACTGGAAGACAGTTGTTATATTGTACCAAATATATTTGGTAAATGGTACCAAATAAAACAACATCAATAAAATTCAGATTTGTCCAGGATAGTGGCTCAAATCTGTAATCCTAGCTATTTCAGAGATGGAGATGGGGAGGATCGAAGTTTGAGGCCAGCCTGACATCTCAACCAATGGATGGGCCATCATGGCTCATGCCTGGCATCCCGGCTACTAGGGGAAGTACAGATAAGAGGACTGCAGTCTAGGCAGGCTCAGGCAAAAAGTTCAGTGGACCCTAATCTCAAAAATACCCAACACAAAAAGATTTGGCAGAGTGGCTCAAGTGGTAGAGTGCCTGCCTACCAAGCATGAGGCCCTGAGTTCAAAACCCCTGTACCACACACACACACACACACACACACACACGCAAATGTAATTCAGACATTAGATTTATAGGTCACAGCTTTGTTATGCCCTGTGGATAATATCTGAAAGTCTGGGAATGGGTTTATTACCATAGCATTTTGTTATGGAGAAATCCAAGTTGCCTAGGTAGAAAATAAGAGGATATCCTATATATACCTGGTTCCATGCATTACTAATATTTATGCTTACAAATACAGTGATGAACACAGAATGACTTAGGATGCAGTTTTCGGGAAGAATAAAAAAATGAGCATTTGTTGATTATACATCCTTGATACTAGTCATCCTAATGGTATCAGGTTGAATGACAAATATTTAAGTAAAAGAGATCAACTGCAGAGGGAAGGGGGGAAAAATGACCCAAACATTGTATGCATATATGAATAAAAGAAAAAGATAAAATTAAATAAAATTTTAAAAAAAGAGATCAACCTAGTGGTAAGAAACTGGTTGACATATAAAGACAAAGATGCAATGCCACATTAATAATTCTCCCCAAAGTAATCAAAGAAAAGAAAGTGAGAGGAAAGCATACCAAATATCAGATAGCATGTGTAAATCAGAATCTGAGGCTCTGTCCCAATGACAGACCTCAAATGAAATGACCCTAGTTAAATGAACTATGAACAGCTATAATAAATGGAAAATACTGTGAGCCAAGATAAGTTTTAGCATGTAAACAGAATAAAATCTCAGACCCTTCACAGTTCTAGACATTCATGTGGAACCAGAGTAGAGTTAATGCAGACATAATGCAATTCCCATAATAGAAGGCTAGCAATATGAAAAAGAAGAAAGGAAATTTCAATTGATAGAAGCAATGGGAAAAACCTCCAGCCAAAGATAACAGAGGAAGTGCTGACTTTTAATGAGGTGGAAGCATAGAGACCAGAGTAACACAAAGGAGTCTTTGACATGATTAATGATAAGTCACTAGTCCA